TTGTAATCTTCGGAGTGAGTGGCGCATGCCGTTGTCAGGAATTGGTGGAATTAAGGATAGACAATATTGAAAATGTTAAATCAGGTTTACTTGCCAAAATCATTTACCGTTATGGGGGAAAATATTTTAATATTTACCAGAAATATACAACCTGTTACAGAAAAAAGTACATTAAATTTAACCACGAACAGAACTCGTCAACAGAAAACATTTTTCTATTTGGCATTTTTTCAAAAACGAATTTTTTTGTCACAGTTTTACCCCCCCCCCCATTATTTAACGAGCCGGCCATACATTTCTTCAATTGTTGACCGTGAATTTCACTTTCAATGCATCAGGTGGAAAGTGTTTGTCTTGACCAAATTTTTTGGCGAGTTGGTTAGCGATAACGTTTTATCAGCTTCAAAACAGTTAGTTCCTTTTCGGCTTTCCTTTGCGGTGTTTTCACTTTTCGTCGTGTGAAGTTATGCCCCGATATTCGAACAGTGAATACACGAACATGGTGCTGGTGCATGGAGAATAAGTTTTTGGCGGTTTCAAGGTAGGTCTCCATTAACTATTAGGTACAGCCTTGCATTCAAATGTTTACATTTTTTGTTTCGTGTCGTGTTCATTTCTTATCCCTCTCCGCAAGAAACTGCTTTGTTAGCCATGGGCGGGTAGGTGAATTTGTATTAAATCTTTGACTAATTTTAACTCAATCACGAAAGGGTTTACGATGAAATGTTATTTACAAATTTAATTTGGATTAGTTCTATTATCAGTTAAAATTAATGTACTTTTTTCTGTAACAGGCTGTATAGCTCTTCCGCCAAAACATTGTCATGAACGTCGATTTTTCGTTAAATACCTAAATGGAAAGTGTCAGCGACAAGTAGTTGGGATTCACAAGATTAGCGATGTTCCACGAGAAGTAGCTAAATTTTTAAAATTGGAAAATCCAAATGAATATAGCGGACACTGCTTACGTCGCACGTCTGCCACTCTCCTTGTATAAGGAATTCACGTTCGGTAGATGTAACTAGATTTGGTAACTTTTTTTTTAAGCTGTGTAACTGCGGACATAATTGTTCTAGTGTATAATGTATTACTGGAATGTCAGAAAGTAGCTATCAAAAATGTGACATGTATGTAAGTAAAAGTCAAATATCGAAAATGTGATGGTTTTGTGGTAATCTGGTGAATCTATTTTTGAACCAAGGAGAAAATCGCATCCCTCTAAAAGCCCAAAGAGCAACCCGCATGTAAAATTTTGAATCTTTTCCCTTCACTAGTTTTTTTAGGAGGACAAGCTTTGATGTCATCATCATGGATCCACAATTTCACCATGGATCCGTTCTGGTATATCCATGTCTCATTCAAGAAAATGAAAAGTAAATCTTCACCACAATCACGCAATTGGAGATAGGTACCGCCTTAGAAATTTGATTCTGGCAGCTATAACGTGTTTAAAATGTGAAAAACTTCGCCTTCGGAAACCTAAATTTATACGTGTATTATGTACAATTATTTTCAAAGCCAAGTGTTTTACCTCTTACAAAACAATAACGATTATATAAAACTTAAAAACCAATTGTAGAACGGAACCAACAAAGCATGTAGGTATATAAATCTGCGCAGTCGTCTTTCTGATTCTGATTATAATATTAACGGCACAAGCGCCGCTGTATCTGTATTATTTTAAAATTCGAAAAACACTCGACAACACTAGCGAACTTTACGGAGAATATTTCTGCCACCAGTTTAACTGTTTCCGTTTTACCCAATTTTTTGAAAACCACGAAATATTTCTTGTTTCTTTTCCTTTAAAATGAGCTTTCTCGTGATTACTTTTATGGAAACTGTTTCCACGCTGTATTTAAGGATTTTCTAGAAACGAAGCGTGTTCAAATTAGAAAAACTTCGTTTTTTTCCACACAATTCAGATTTGACATTTGAATTAGAAAATTAGACAGTTGATGCCAACCTTAAATTTCTAGTGATCTTAAGATTGCAACTTAACCACAGAAAAGTTTCTGTCAGTTACTTCTACCGAACGTGAATGCTTATTAGATGCTGGAGGTGACATTATATTACAAATTATGTAATGTGTTTAATTATTAATAAAATTATAAAATATTAAAGAGAACATTATTAATATTTTCAAAATTGACGAAAAAGTATAGTTTAAGATTAATTATTATTTGTTTTTAATTCTAACATTTAAACGATTTTTAATTCCTAGGATTAAAAGTGAATGTTGATTTAGTAACGCAAGTTTTTTTTCCTAATTACAAAAACGTCTACTTTTAGTGTTGAAATTGTCATTAAAAGTGTCATGTTTTAAGACGGCTGAAGACTTTTGTAGACTTACCTTACCATTATGTACTCCAGGAGAATTTCCGTATATAACCTGCTTGGTACTTCTGGAAGCTGTAAAGAGTACATGGAAAGCTTTTGGCTGGTGGTTCTTGCACAAAGTGGTGGTGTGCAAAAATGGAAATATTTTAAAACTAAATCAGTCTCATTTTCCGAAAGTCCACCAAAAATAATTCATTCATTCATTAGTCCTTTCCAAAAGCCTCTGTAACACATTTAAAAAATAAAAATAAGTTTTTCCAAAGCACAAGTGACGTTTGTCGAGTACGTTTTCTGTACAGTTCATTTAACTAAATAAAAAAAAAAAATGAACCAACCTTTTTTAGAGGAAAAAAAATATAAGGAAGGAGGATTTCTTGCATTGTTTGAAAAAGATCTTTTCTTTCTTGGTCTCTTAAATGTTTGCTTTATTTTATGCAACTGACCTACCACTAGAAAAATTTAAGTGAAAATACTTCATCATTTTTGAAAGGTCAGTATTAATTTCTAGATCCATATTTACAACATCACATGAGCTAGTTCTTCCTTGTGCACAACTTTGCTAGAATATTTACTCAAATGAAAACACAAATAACGAGAACATTTTTTCCTTACCTTCACTATACAGCTTCACTTGTACTTCAGTTAAATTTACAATAAATTATACCTTTTTGTTAGAATTTGTGACTGATGAGGTAGTTGAAGAGTCGATTCTGAAAGACAATTTCTGCATTTTGTTTTAATCATATGGTACAGATTTACCTAAATTATTTCTTGGTAGTTCCTTTTCCATCTTACATTCTTAAAATGTCGTAAAAATCAATTGGAAAAAAGACAAACAAACTTTTTGCTGAAAATGTCTTATTTCCATTTTTTCCTTCGTTAGAACTGATCTCCCTTGCTAATATCGCAAAATTTAAATAAAACTTTTATTAAATATTACTGGAGTACTGGACAGCTCAGCTAGCCCCGCCCACCCGCCCTCTATTTTCTTGGAAGGTATGTCATTTGCCAAAAATCATTCGTATGTTAACTAAAAGTTTTATTACTGTATTTATTGTGATAATGGACGTGTGAACCAACATTAAGATCATTATAATTGGACCAAAATGTGAGAAGGATTTTTTTCATACTTTTTCACCAACTGATTGTTAAAGGCGGCGCGAAGAGTTAATCCGCCAATTTCGAGACACCCGGTATATTGCACCAAAGCCGATTAGTCATACGAGTTCACTAGGAACAAAGTTCAGTGAAGCTAACTATATCTGAAGTCTTCTCAATAAAAGCAGCATGACAATATTCAAGTTTCTAATGACATTTTCCTCAAAAAAGGCTCTTTTTGGTATATCATGTAAAATGTATTAAAAAATCAATTTAGTACAAAATTTTATAAATCAGGTCTAATGTATATTTTTTGATGTTAATCACCTTCTTTAATAGAATTTTGCTATTATATTATTCGGCTATTGTAACCTAGGATTAATACTTTTGTTAACATTTTGAAAGCAATAAAGCAAAAAAAAACGTAATAAACAAAAAAAAATTGAATTTGTTGCACTGTGTAATCGGTCACATTATAAATTGATTATTATTATTAAAACACTCTTTTAAGAGAAATAATTTATGGGTCGATATTTTGTCAGAAAAGCATGGGGAAAAGTTAAGATGTTCACAAAACATTGGAGAAACTATAACAATAATAGTAGTTTATTGTCAAACAGAACTATTCCAATAGAGACAATAAAAATAACAGAATCGATGGCTACATTTGCCTTAAATATAAATTAAATGTACTCTCCTTACAATTAAAAATATCTAAATTAACTGACAGATTGTTTATAGCAGTCACAATTTTATTAACAAAAGAGCTATTTAAACCAAAATTAGTTTTTCTAAAGGGACAAACAAATATATCGCGGTTTCTGGTATTAACTAAAGGCGCTTTGAAATTTAAAAGCAACAAAAGCTGTGGACAATTTATTTCATTATGCAACAGTTTAAACCCAAACCGTAGTTTAAATTTCAAAACGCGTTTCAACAGTGCTTCCAATTCCGTTAGATTAAGTCTCTGATCATAATTATATTGCGATTTATTAAGCCCCATCTTGAAAATTTAAAAGTTACACATTTTTCTCTGCACTCTTTCTAGTCTTGTTACGTGGACTTTATAAAAAGGAAACCAAATAATTATGCCGTACTCTAAGATAGGTCTAACTAGTGTAATAAAAAGCTTACGAACAGCAGCAATGCAGTGAAAATTTCTAGTCATCCTTTTTATGAAGCCACTTACACGATATGAGTTATCAATAATATAATCCATGTGGTTATTAACAGGTTTAGCGCCAAGGTAATTCGAACAGAAAGTCACCCTGGACCAAACCGTTTTTTTGACAATTTCTCAGATATAGTTTTATTTTTTATCAAAAAAAATACTTTTCAATTTTTTTTGTTTGCCAATTGACAAAAAACAGACAGCGGACACCGGTGTCCGCTGTGGCCCGTTTACAATCTTAGCGGACACCGGTGTCCGCTGTGGAACGTGACTACCGAGCGGACACGAGACGACCCGAAGTGTCCGCCATTGCAATTTTACAGGTTTTGTCTTAAAATCTGCTATTTATTTGGGTGTTATTAGTGGCGTTGTGTTAATTTTTGTAGAAAAAATGAACAGTCGTGGAAAACGAATTGTAAAACTAGCTTTAGAACAAAAACAGCATTCTGGTGGTAAGTGTCCGAAAATTAGATGTTATATGAAATATCACACTGATAATTTTCAATAGACGAAGATTCACTAAGTGAACCGTACTCAGCAGATTCTGACGTAGATCCAGGTTTTGTTTTACCTGATAGTTCAAACTCAGACAATTATTCTACTGATAGTGATTGCGAAATTCCTGTAAAAAAGACGAAGAATATTTCTTCTTTATCGGTAGGAAATGAAAATATGCCAGGTCCTTCTAACATCTTTCGTGGTAAACGCACCACAAAAGAAATAGAAAGCAAATATCAAGATATAACAAGTGAATCTGAAGAAGATATAGAACGAGAACAGGTGAAAGATAGTTCTGCAGTTTTTATGACTCAAAACACTCGGAACGCAAATGCAGGTTCTACTCATTTTGGAGACGATAATATAGCACATGAAGAATGGATTGAAACAGAAAATGATGCTGATCAAACGCTACATGATTTGACACAATCAGTCTGGGGTCCTCCTGTAGGAAATCATCTTCAATTTGAAGAAAATTTTGAAAGTGGAATAAAACAGGAATGGCAGGCCGCATTGATGGGACACCACCCAATTGACTATTATTTTGCTTTTGTTGATTTTGATATAATTGATGCAATTGTGGATCAAACCAACATTTATGCAACGCAGTTTGTTATGTGTAATAACAATATTTCAAACAAATCTCGTGTGCACAATTGGGAACCAACCACTCGGGCAGAAATCATACATTTGATAGGTCTGCTTTCTTATATGGGAATGGTTCGTATGAACAGCCTTCGCGATTATTGGTCTCAGAAATGGCTTCTAAAATCAGACGTTGCTCGCAACGTCATGAGTCGTAACAGATTTGAAATATTGCTAAAGATGCTACACTTCTCCGATAACGAACAGTGTCCTGAAGGAGATCGTCTATATAAGATTCAACCGCTTATCGATATGCTCACCAAAAATTATCAAACTGTATACACACCTGGTAAGACATTTTGTATCGACGAAACGATGGTACCTTTTCAAGGAAGACTAGTGTTCAAACAATACAATCCACAGAAAACACATAAGTACGGAATAAAAGTTTTCAAACTTTGTTGCAACAACGGGTACACCTGGAACATCAGTATTTATGCAGGAAAAGAGAAAACGACAGATAATCCACTGGCCGTTTCAACACAAATTGTGCTCAAGTTGGCGAAAGATCTCTTAGGTAGCGGTAGACTGTGTATTACAGATAACTGGTACACAAGTCTTCAACTTGCGCACATACTGTTAGATCATAAAACACATTGCTTAGGTACATTGCGGGCGAACCGGAAAGGAAACCCGCCAGAAGTAATAAAAAAGAAACTGAAAAAAGGTGAGGTATTTTCCCAAGAAAACGAAAGAGGAATATGTCTAGTCAAATGGCGAGACAAACGGGATGTCTTGGTTTTGTCCACATGTCATACAGACCAAATGGTAGAAATTCAACGCCGAGGAAAATCTATTCAAAAGCCCACAGCTATCGTGCATTATAATTCAGGCAAAAGTTCGATTGATCTTTCTGATCAAATGGCAAGCTACAGTTCAGCTTTACGGAAGTCCATCCGCTGGTACAAAAAACTGGCAATTGAAGTACTGTTGGGTAAGAAATCATTTAATTTTTTTGTAAATGTTGCGACTTTTATGTATGTTTGATTAGGTACTTCAATGGTAAATGCTCACATCATTTACAAGGATATTGAACAAAGCAACATTCCAATAAACGATTTTCGCTTATTGGTAACTGAAGACTTGTTGAAATTCGAAGATAAACGCGATGTTGCGCAAACTCGTCAGCCAAGACATCAAATTCTTAAAACACATCAATTTACCAGACTAGACTGTAAAGCTCGAGAAAATCGTCGATACTGCAAAGGATGCTACCAAAAAAAGGTGGATGGCATTATCGAAAAGAATAAAGTGAAGAAAGTTACTACCTATTGTCAACAATGCGATGGAAATCCAAGATATTGCCTCGAGTGCTTTAACTTATACCACAATAAATAATTTGTACTAATCATACATTGTATAAATACAAAAATATTCAATATACTATTCAATAAATTTCTTTAAACATAAAAAAATTATGACATTATTATTTTCTAAATAAATTTTGCTATAAAAAACCTGGAACCAGGATGCAGTTTCGCAGGGCCACAGCGGTCACACCACTACGTTAAATAGCTCAAAAGTGCGTCCGCTTGGCCAGGAATGATCAACAAAGTTTAGAAACCAGAGCGGACACCGGTGTCCGCCATGGCCATAGTGGCAAACCATATAGCGGACACCGGTGTCCGCCATGGCGCTAAACCTGTTAAAGCGTAGTTCAGAATCAAAAACTATTCCTAGATCTAATTTCATTCACTCTTTCCAAAAGCTTATTATTTGTAGCGTAGGCGAATACATAGTTACATAATTTTCTAGAGAATGTTATAATCTTGCACTTGTTATTGTTGAGCATCATATTATTATTAATACACCACTTCGTAGCAACATTCAGGGCTGCTTGGAGCCGATAACAATCTTCAAAGGAATTTATCTTGGAAAAAATTTTTAAGTCATCAGCAAAAAGCAGTAGATTCGATGTAGAGAGGGATACTGCAAGATCATTAATAAATAGTAGGAAGAGTATTGGACCAAGATGACTGCCCTGAGGAACTCCGGAAGGTATTAAGAGAGGATCGGATAGAAATCCCTTTAACGAAATTATTTGAATACGATTGGTAATATAAGAGAAAATCCATGTGTGAAGTTGACCACAAATACCGAGATACCAAAGTTTTTTCATTAGAAGAGCATGGTTAAAACGATCAAACGCCTTACTAAAATCTAAATAGACCGAGTCAACCTGGCATCCATCTTCAAAAGCATCGATAATAAATTCATTGTATATAGCAAGATTGGTCACTGTACTTCTGCTAGGAAGGAATCCATGTTGATACGGTGAAAGGATGTTTCTGTACAGTCGAATAAGTTGTTCACTAATAATTGATTCTAAACCCTTACATAAAGCAGAAATAATCGATATAGGTCGGTAGTTAGTAACTTCAGATTTGTCTCCAGTTTTATGCAGGGGAATCACATGAGATTGTTTCCAAATACTGGGACAAATACCAGTGTCGATAGATTTTCTGTAGAGTAAAAAGACAGGCCAGGCTAAGCTACTAGCACACTGATTTAGGAAATAAGGAGGAATTCCATCTGGTCCTGGATTTAAACTAGGTTTTAGAATTGATAGTTTGTTTAGAATCAAGTCAGGATTTAAGTCAATATCATGTAAATTAACGTTATTCAGAAACAAAGAGGGATTTAATTCAGGGTTATGGTTGTTTATGTTTGAATCATATACAGACTTAAAATACTTAGCAAACATATTGGCAATCGTTTGGGTATCAGAGGAGTGTAAATCTTGGTAGTGCATATTTTTCGGTACACTAGATTTAGAATTGCGACTTTTGGAATTTACGCAGTTAAAGAAGACTTTAGTATTATTATGAACGTTATTTTCAACGAAGCATATATAGTTATCGTGGTCTTCTTTTATTGCAGCCTTAGCTAGTCTACGAACCCCTTTAAAATGATTATAATGGGTTACATTCAATGTAGATCTGTATAATGAGAATAATCTACGCTTTTTATTTACAAGTTTAACAGTATTTGGCTTCAACCATATTGGAAAATGAATATTGGGCTTACTAGTTTTAGGAGTAGAGATATCAATAGCCTCATGAACAATGGAGTAGAAAGTTTCAATTGTAGCTTCAATATCTGAATATTGCAAAAGAGAACCCCAGTTTATAGATGAAAAATAGTTATTTAAAAAGTGATAATTGGTTTTTTAGAAGTTATAGTACCAACTGATTGAAGGCACAATATTGGAAGTTGCATGATTTGTGGGGAGAATTATACAGAGTGGAGGATGATGGTCATCCACGGTAACTAATCCAAAATCTTCACTATGAACTTCTGTCGACGAAGACGATGTTAATATTAAGTCAAGAATAACACCGTTTTTATTAATCTCATGATTATGCTGAAATAACTCCAATGAGGAGAAACCATCACAGATAATTTTTTCTTTGTCGCTGACCCCTGCCATACAATTTCTTGAATCATTTGTGAAAAATAAATTTGGTAAGTTGTAATCACCTGCGATGCAAAGGTTAGCATAAGGATATGTTGTTCGGATGAAGTCCATCGATGAAATATTGTCCAAGCAAGAGTTTAAATCGGAGTTAGGTGGAATATAGACCGCACCGCATACTATAAAACTTTGACTAAAACTAATTGATACATATAGTTCTTCACATATTGAGTCAGGAAAGCTTAGTTTACTAGATGACAGATCAGCTCGCACCTCCACCCCTAGTTTTTTTAGTAGACAATGGATTACGATCATGACGAAAAACTGTAAATTTTGAATCAAATATTTCAGTGTCTGTTATATCACAACCAAGTTTCGGTGAGAACAATTATATCATAGTCCATATTTAATGACGATAGAAATGCTGATGATGTTTTAGTTCGAAGTCCGCGTGCATTTTGATAAAAGAGTCGTAGTCCGGAGTTAGAAATTACCTTTTTGGCGATTTTAGGCATGCCATTGTAATACCGTAGACTAAGGTCAGCTTCTCCATTGTCTCGCCGTGTTCGAAATTCGTGTCTAATGTTATAAGCTTGAGTTTGTTGCATCGGGGTGAAATCAGCATTGAGGTAGATGGAGTCTGTCCTACGTTTGGACCGGAGAAGAGAGTTAGCAACACTAGAGTTGTTAAAGATAACTTTAATAAAGCGTGTTCTAGATTCATTGAATTTGCCAAGTCGATTAAGAGAAACTAGAAGGATAGAAGGAATAGTAAAAATGCAGCTTTGGTTTCTATATCTACACCAAGATCACACTAAAAGAGATAATAGTAGGTTTGTTGTCCTAAATGAAGTACTGCATAGATTAGGGTTTAATTTAAAATGTAGATGCCAAAACTGGTAAGGAAGCAAAAAAAAATTTTTATTTCGTAGAATTCCCTCTAGGGTTAGTACACCCATGACGCACTGATTTTACTACATTAAACTACAATGAAACCGTTTAGAGAAGTTCTCAACTCTGGGATTCCTTCTAGAAGCACTGCTTTTATCTAAATGCTCGACAACCTTTTGGTGTTCGTTTTGAGAAGCTATGTGAACTGGTGTACAACTGTCATCGTCATTAGCGCAAATGATCTCGGCACCAACTGTGGCCAAGTATTCAACAACCCTCTCGTGACCCATCTCGGAAGCTACCTGAAGTGGCGTCGAACCGTCATTCATAGCGTAATTGACATCGGCACCGACTCCCGCCAAGTATTCAACAACCCTTTCGTGGCCGTTTTGGGACGCTACATAAATTGGTGTCGCACCGTTACTTCTACCGCGATTGATTTCTGCGCCGACGGCCACCAAATATTCAACAACTTTCTCGTGGCCGTTTTGAGAAGCTACGTAAAGTGGTGTGGCACCCTCTTCAAGAGCGTGGTTGATTTCGGCTCCTGCCGTCGCCAAGTATTCAACAACCTTCTCGTGGCCGTTTTGTGAAGCTATGAAAAGTGGTGTCGCACCGTTTTTATTAGCGCGATTGATGTCGGCACCAACTGACGCCAAGTATTCAACAACTTTTTCGTAACCCATTTGGGAAGCTATGTAAAGTGGTGTCGAACCGTCATTCTGAGGGCGATTGATTTCGGCGCCGACTGAAGCCAAGTATTCAACAATTCTTTCGTGACCGTTCTGGGACGCTACGTAAATTGGTGTCGCACCGGTATTTCTAGCGCGACTGATGTCAGCACCAACTGTCGCCAGGTAATCGACAAGTTTTTCGTGTCCCATTTGGGAAGCTACGCAAAGTGGTGTCCGATTATGCTTATCAGCCTGATTGATTTCGGCGCCTTTTGTCACCAGGTATTCAACAACTGTTTTGTGGCCCATTTGCGAAGCTATGTAAAGTGGTGTGGCACCTTCTTTAGTAACCCGATTGATGTCGGCACTGGATGTCGCCAAGTATTCAACAACTTTTTTGTGGCCATTTTGGGAAGCTATGTAAAGTGGTGTTGCACCTTCTTTAGTTGCGCGATTGATTTCGGCTCCGGCTGTCGCCAAGTATTCGACAACTCTTTGGTGGCCGTTTTGGGAAGCTACGAAAAGTGGTGTTACACCGTTTTGATTAGGACGATTGATTTCGGCTCCGATTGTCACCAAGTATTCGACAACTTGTTCATGACCATTTCGAGAAGCTATGTAAAGTGGTGTGGCACCGTTTTTATTAGGACGATTGATTTCGGCATCGGGTTTTTGTAACAAGTACTTAACGATTTTTAGATGACCACGGTCACACGCCAATAGAAGAGATGTTTCACCATTTTCCGCAGTTACAAATTTTGTTTCGTACCAACGGTTTCGTCTCTTCTTCCCTTCAACTGTAAAAAGTTCACACACTTCGTCGTATCCGAGTAAAGAAGAATAATAGAAAATATTAATTACATCATCAACAGTACTTAATTGATGATTCAAGTCATTTCGTTTAGTTTGAAGTAACTTTATTTCCGCCCCTAAGCTCTCACTTTTCCTGGCATAAGCCAACGGTGTCATGTCTAGCAAGATATCGTGTTCGTCAACAGTACTCTTGTTTTGTAAGCACCCTACAATTTCGAAATATGCCTGAGTTTCTGCTTTTTTATCAAAATTGTTGTCTTCGTGCACTACATGCTCTCTACTTTTACCGGTTACTTTCACACGAGGATGTCTTTGTCCCCATGACGAAATCACGTGTAAAGCACTTCTACCACCTTCATCTTTACGTGTTAAAGTTTCGTCATTATAGGTTTTAAGCAATTCATAATTTTTGTATAACACTGAGACGTGAGCCTCAGAGTTTTTGGCTAACAACAAGTCGAAAAAAAACCGAACATTATTATACTTTGCGTCAAATATTATGTCCCCGAGTGTGTCTCTAATTACATTAAAATTTTTCGAAAAATATGTAGCAACTAAGTATTCGGCAAAAGAACCATGAACAAAATGTGGCACATCATTTTCGAATTCATTTACAAGACCAACTGACGCATATTTTCGTAAAATTTTGTCTCTGTGTTTGTCACAGTCAATATTTAATCGTTTCAAAACGTCTTCTGGAAAGATTACCTTAAACGCCACTCTTTCATAATGATCTAAAGCTTTCCGTTTTTCCTCGCAAATTCTATGTTTCATGTGAGGGTTTGCGTAGTCAAGACTTAATTTACCTTCGTAAAAATTGTTAAATTTTTCTTCGATAAAATATTCGTACAAGTCAGTCAACACAAACATATTTTCCATTAGTTTCAAATATTTGTCTTTGTTTTGACGAAACAGTTCGGTAACCATGAAGATCTGGAGTGGAATTCCTAATATATTAACGTGCTCGATAATCGCGAACGATGATTTAATTTTGTCGATGGCGATCTCAATTTCGTCTACAGAAATGAAAGAAGCTAAACGTTTTCTTACATAATTTTGTTGTTCTTGGTCGTCAAACTGATTTATACTAAGTGCCAAGACACTGAATTTTTTTTCTAGAAGTGGTTTCAAATGTCTTCTACTTGTTACCCACTGAAGGAAACCTTTAGTTGAGAAATTTAGGATTATTTTCAAAATGACTTCTAAGTATTCGCTTACAATTTCGTCAAGCGCGTCCCACACGAAAACAATATTATTTTTCTCTATACACAATTCGCAAAATCTTTGATCTACTGTAGTCAGTGCTTGACATTTTTCGTTTACGATAAATTTTTTAAATAAGTCTGTATAGTTAGTTCCTTCCGAAAACTTACAACTATAAAAAAATGAGTGAACATCTTTAGGAAGAATTATCATTGTCCAATATCTTGGTGAACATTTATTTTTGAAGCTTTTCATTAACTCAGATTTACCCATTCCCGGATCGCCAGTGATTAGATTTATCTTATTGTCCAACCGAGAAAACCATAGCACATTTTCGTTTGTAGAATATTTGCCATGGAACTTATAAACGTCTAAATCACTAACATCACCTTTGCTTTTAATCCATTCTAAGTTACAATCACTGGAAAGTTTAAAATAGTGAAATTGTTTGGCTTCTCTATTTTCATTGTAAATTTGTTCTAGTTCTAAATCACTAAAATCGCTATTACTAACATAAACTACATTAGTAAAATTTGATTTATCATATGGAGGTGATTGATTTAAGGAGTTATTGATATCAATTAGTTTACACTGCTTAAGTTTATCTCTAACTTTATCAAAATTATCGGCGCAATTTAAAATATTAATTGTGTTTTCCCAGAATTTTTCTATATATGTAAGGTTAATAATGTTTCGTGAAAAATAGCGGTCTATGTATGGTTCAGGAAGAACTTCTTTTTCTCCACCTATATGACATGGACCGTTTAGCATTTGCACTAAGTTGTCCGTTGTAACATTTTCTAAAACTTCTTCATTACTCCCGAAAACTGTTATCAGATCAATTTCTTCTTTTCCTTGCACCGATAAGTTAAATTTTTGCATAACTTTTAGGCGCAAATCGGGTTTTCGATTCAAGTTTGATAAATTTTGGAAGACGGAATAATTTTTCATCCACTCCTCATTTTTGACTTCACCAATCAAAATGAACTTTTTGTCTGGACACAGCTGCAGGGCTTTTTTGACATTTTCGCACTCATGTAATATTAGTGGACATTTGTTCATGAGCCACATCACTTGAGAAAATGTCTTTAAATCTACGTTGTTAATATCACCACCATCGACAAAACTGGAAGTAAGTTGATAATATTTTCCCATTCTTTTTAATTTATTAACATCGATGTCTTCTTTTCCAAGATCACCCCACAATCGTTTAACCGTTTCGCATGATTTTTGATCAAATAATGTGACGCCGAAACAGGAAATAGCTTCCCGAAATAATTTCATTTTGTCGTTAACTGTACCAAAAGACAACGGCTCGATTTGGGACGACACAAGCTGGAGAACAATTACACGTTGAATCCACTTTTTATTCAATTTTTTTTTAGTCCCTTCTTGGACGTTCCACTCCGATATTATTTTAAAGAATTTGTCAAAAATTTCGGCACTCGATGAATATGTTGTCGCAAATGTATTAACCGTTGTATTTCGGAGTCTATCAAAATTTTCTTGATCTGCGTAGAGATAGAAATTATCAAAAAATGTCTTATACTCTTGAATTTTCGACGGGTTTTGTACATTTGACAGATCTACTAGTTGGAATTGGTACACGCAATTTTCTTTCCCGGAAATTTTTAAAGTATCTTCTGCTTTAACAAGTTTAATGTAAAACCCTTCGTCTTCGAGTTGGAATTTTTCCTTGTCAATACAGTTAAAGGGTCTGTTAGTAAATAATATAAATTCATCCGCTGACCTCTCTAGTTCTTGGTAACTTTTGAAATATTTTGTTAAGCTGAAGTCCCCCTTTTTTGCTTTTAAATTTTCCGTGGACAACGTTTTTCTCTCGCTATGCTTTAACTGAAATGCTTTCACTACGCTTCCGCTTTTGGTTTCAATTTTGATAACTAAATCGTCAAAGGTGCCGTATGCGTTGTCGTTTGAGGATATGTGAAAATTTATGATGTTAGTGTCGCTGGCTAATTGTAAAGCGATATTAGCAATGACCAAGTCTTCATATCCTTTACCCTTATCAGTTGTACCGGGCCGTTTTTTAAAACTCTGGAAACGAATACATACACACTGTTTTGAAAAGGTGCTGTGAAATTTAATCTATGTATGTGTGATTTAAGTACCACAGATTTTAATGGTGATTAAGTATGTATATTTTTAATTTACCACCAAAATTTTTCTTATACTTGACAGAGCACTATCAAAATACATAACTATATGAACAAACACTCACCTCGACTTCCTCCATTTTTTAATAAAATCACACTGATGTTAACGATTACTTGACATTGACTAAAGTCTTGACCGGAATGTTCTATCTCATGGTAACATGCGCATACGCGTATTAATTAAATTCATTATCACAAATGACCTCACGTAAGGCAACGGTGGAAGTCGAAACTAATCATAAACCATTTTTCAAAACACCGGAGATATTTTGCTATAAAATTTCGTACAGAGTGGAGAGGAGTCTGTCATAAAATTTTAATACAATACAAATGCAGACCACAATGCGTTTCGTGTATAAAATTAAGTTCTGCGGTAAACGATAAAAAAAGAAAAAGAAAATATAACAAAATAAAAGGAAAAATAATTTACGGGCGATCTGAGGTCGGGAAGTGGAAGTGAGTTTTTAAGGGTAGAAAACGGTTCATTACGATTTCCGGCAAAACTACAAGTCCGATCGAAAACAGTTACATAGCAAAGTTGTAGGTAATAAAAAGATCTACAACTTTTGGTTTTACACTTTTTTAACGAAAAGTCAAAATTTATGCGAAAAATGCAAATAACCGAGTTTTTGGTTTTTTATTTTAATCTCCCACAAAAAAAAATCACAAAATTTGATGAAAACTTATCTATTTACGTGCCAAACTCACTGTAATTTTTTTGATTCAAAATATTTATTTTTTCCCCTTATTTTGATTTAATATCCAAAAAGGACCCCAATTTTCAATCGAAAATTCTCACGTCAAAATATCTGCTTTTGTAAAAAATCGGTGTGCTTTTTGTTAGTTGAAATCTCTGCTTTCACACAGGAAATGCAAAAAAAAAACAAAAAAACTCGAATTCAAATTTTTTTTTATGATTATGTAAAATTTGGAGCTATTTATTACAATTTATACTTTAATTACACGAAAAACGTAATATTGTATGTTACATTGATAAACTAAAAAATTGCAAATCGAAATATACTACTATAACTAACAACCAAATAAGTTAATAAACTCCTTCGGAAGGTGGAATTGATTTTGTGTCGATAAATTTCTTATTGTTTTCAGCAGATTTGTGTAATTTTTTGCCCAACTTCCGATGGAGGTTTTTTCTTGTTTCACGAAATGATGCTCGGGATAACCACTCTGGCGGGGTCTCTGGATGTCCTACAAAAAATATAAAAACTAACATTCATAGATTACGAGATAAACAGTTTTTTTAAAAACTATACGTTAACTCAAAGAGTAAATTGTGTGTTTGAAATTAAAACTTGATCGTTTCTTTTACATCCTACATTTTTAAATTTCCATAAAAATCGATCAGGAAAATATTGCGGAAGATTCTAAACGCATTGTGTTTGCTAATAACAAATGTCACCATTTAAACACTTAGCAAAAACAAAAGACAATTCGAAACAGGCGGAATAAATCATTTCTAAAAACTCCATACGCTTTTTGAATATCTAAATACTTTTGTTGAAAAAAATGAATGAAATTGAAAAATTAAGATAAAATATACGATAAAATAAATTCTCTCTAGAACTTCTGTGAGAAAAATGCACTTCACTATACCTTAGGAAAAAATGAAAAAACTGTTTCTTGTAGACTTACCGGTATGCACTCATGGAACAAACCCATAGTACAAGGAGCCGTTTTCATCACTTGAGTCACTTGATGTTTTCTAGAAGATTGGACGTATTTCATAATTTCTTTTTGTTTGTGTGCACCTTTGCTACAATATTAAAGTCAAAGTAAAACTAACAAGGATATCTTTATCTTACCTTCGGTACAGATACGTATACAGCTTTACTTGTAGTCCAATCTATAACAGGGCTAAATTTACGATAAATTGCACCTTTTTGTTACAATTTGTGACTGGTGAGGCAATTCTGGAAGAAACTTTTTGAATTTTGTTTGCGCGATATAGAACATATTTACCTAAATTATTTCTTATTTTTAACTTAAATATTCTTTTCTTGGTTGTTTCTTTTGCGTCTTTAAATTGTCGTCAAAATCACTCAGGAAAATATTGAGGAAGATGCTAAACGGTCTAATGCGTTGCTTTTTGTTCAGTTAATAAAAGAGAAAACACAATTCTATTTTACCTCAAAGACTTATTTTATTCGTAATAGTGTGTGTACGGTTATTAATAATTTTTAATTTTTGCTCAAACTCAATAATACTAGTTGCGAAAAACGTATACAATTGAGTACACTTCTCAGTCGTGAATATCAAAGAAAAAGCAGAGGCGAGGTAAAGGAATTTTTAAGTTCTTTTTTTCCTAATTTTTTCTTTGTTCTGGTATTTATACGCTGACAATACGTTTTCATTGATTTCAGGCTAAAGTAGATTATTATTTTTGCGTTTGGTTTTGGAAAAAACGTTTTTCATTCCAACTCAGAACAAAAGTGTTTGTTATGAGTGTTGCTGTGGTACCGAGTATTTTACTAACATTACCTATCAGTGTGGTCAGTGCTGAGTGAAGTTTTTTGAAGCTAAAATCGATAAAAAATTACTTACGCTTAATAATGCCTGAAACAAGACTTGGCGATTATTTTGATTGAACACGCGACTTAAATTCGGGGGTCCACAAATTAGGTTTTTAAAAACTAAAAAGCTTTATTACGACCGTTACACAAGTGCGACTAAGAGTGTGCTACAATGTAGAAAATACATATTTATATTATTAAGAAATGCTGAGTCCGCCCGCCGTCTCGTCCTTGCATATAGGCCGGATGACCTAACTCGCGTAAGGACAAAACATAGATTATAAAAAACTGGTGAGGGAATTTTCTGCAATTAAAGCACAAAAAGTTTCCTTTTAAATTTTGTGTCAACAGCGCGACTGTGTAAATAACTATAAAGTGTGTACATATGTAATTATCTACAAATAACATTTCAATTTTCTCTTGTGACGATCATCAGTGTATATCTAAAAGTATGTAGTTAAGATACATATATATTATATACGTAGGTATATCTATAAAAAATATAATTCACAAAGTGGAGGGGCGGTATAGATTCACTTTGTCCCGTGCGGTAAAATACCTAGCGCCAGCTCTGATTGTATCTAAGAATATTAACATTATCTATTGGATAAAATCGATCACGTGATACATGAATTATATCTTTTGTAAAATAACCAGCGCTGACTGAAGATTAAAAAAAATTGCAAACACTTTTTGCTACATTCAAACTTTTGAAAAAGTTCTCGTTCGTAGGATTCCTTCTAGAAGGCCCGACCTTCTTTAAAAGCTCGACAACTTTTCTGTGACCGTTTTGTGAAGCTATGTGAAGTGGTGTCCAACCGTCATTCCGAGGGCATTGCAATTGATTTCGGCGCCGACTGACGCCAAGTATTCGAAAACATTTTGGTGGCCCATTTGTGAAGCTAGGTAAAGTGCGGTCACCCCGTCATTCACTGCGCGATTGATTTCTGCGCCGACTGTCACCAAGTATTCGACAACTTCTTCGTGACCGTGGAGAGAAGCTGTGTGAAGTGGTGTCAAACCGTCATTCCGAGCGTGATTGATTTCGGCGCCGATTGTCGCCAGGTATTCGACAACTTTTTGATGACCGTTTTGGGAAGCTAGGAAAAGTGGTGTCGAACCGTTATTATTAGCACGATTGATTTCGGCACCGACTGTGGACAAGCATTCGACAACTTTTTGATGACCGTTTTGGGAAGCTATGTGAAGTGGTGTCCAACCGTCATTCTCAGCGCGATTGATTTCGGCGCCGACTGTCGCCAAATATTCGACAACTCTATCGTGGCCGTTTTGTGAAGCTATGTAAAGTGATGTCACACCGTCATTCATTGCGCGATTAATTTCGGCGCCAACTGTCGCCAAGTATTCGACAACGTTTTTGTGACCGTTTTGTGAAGCTAGGAATATTGATGTCGCATCGTCATTCATTGCGCGATTGATTTCGGCACCGACTGTCACCAAGTATTCAACAACTTTTTCATGACCTTTGAAGGAAGCTGCGTGAAGTGGTGTCCAACCGTTATTCCTAGCGCGATTGATTTCGGCGCCGACTGTGGACAAGTATTTGACAACTTTTTCATGACCCTTGAAGGAAGCTGCGTGAAGTGGTGTCCAACCGTTATTCGTAGCGCGATTGATTTCGGCGCCGACTGTGAACAAATATTCGACAACTTTGTCGTGACCATTTTGTGAGGCTATGTGAAGTGGTGTCCAGCCGTCATTCGTAGCGCGATTGATTTCGGCACCGACTGTCGCCAAGTAATCGACAACTTTCTCGTGACCGTTTCCTGAAGCTACGTAAAGTGGTGTCACAGCGTTTTCATCAGCGTGATTGATTTCGGCGCCAACTGTCACCAAGTATTTGACCACTTTCTCGTGACCGCTTTGTGAAGCTACGTAAAGTGGTGTCACACTGCCATTTTTAGCGCGATTGATTTCGGCGCCGACTGACGCCAAGTATTCGACAACTTTTTGGTGACCGTTTTGGCAAGCTAGTAAAAGTGATGTGGCACCTTCATGCATTGCGCGATTTATTTCGGCGCCTGCTGTCACCAAGTATTCGACAACGTTTCGGTGACCGTTGAATGACGCTATGTGAAGTGGTGTCGTACCGTCAATCCTAGCGCGATTGATTTCAGCGCCGACTGTCACCAAGTATTCGACAATTTCTTCGTGACCCATTTCAGAAGAAACGAAAAGTGGTGTCGCCCCATGTATATTACCTTGATTAATTTCAGCGCCTGCCGCCACTAAGCACTCCAAAGAGCCATCAACAATGCTGTGATTGATTTCTTCACCGACATTCAGAAAATATTCTAAAGCCTTTTTGTGGCTGTTTTCGGACGCAGCGTGAAGTGGTGTTTCACAAAATTTATTGGATTTGTTAATTTTGTCATTTAAATGTAACAAGTATTTAACAATTTTCAGGTGACCACTTTTACTCGCTAATAATAGAGGTGTTTCAGCATGTTCCTCAGTAACAAATGTGGTTTCGTACCCGCGATTTTTCCTTGTTTTATTTTCTTGGACAGTAAACAGCTCGCACACTTGATCGTATCCAAGTAAAGAAGAATAATATAAAATATTAATTATATCGTTAAGAGAAAATGACTGACAATTCGGTACATTTTTTTTTGCTTGAAGTAATATTATTTCCGCCCCTAAACTCTCACTTTTTCTGGCATAAGACAACGGTGTCGTATCTAGCAAACTATCGTGTTCTTCAATATTATTCTTGCCCTGCAAAAATATAACTGTTTCAAAATATGCTTTGGTTTCCGCTTCTTTATCAAAATTGCTATCTTCATGAACAATACATTTTCCACTTTCAACCGTTATTTTTAAACGCGGATGTCTTTGTCCCCATGAAGAAATCAGATGTAAAGCACTTCTACCGCCTTTATCCTTGCATGTTAAAGTTTCTTCATCATAAGTTTTAAGCAGTTCATATTTCTTATACAAGACAGCAATGTGAGCTTTACAATTTTTGACTAACAACATGTCGAAAAAAAAACGAACATTATTATACTTTGCGTCGAATATTAGGTCACCAAGTATATCACAAAAGGTATTTAAATTTTTTGAAAAAAATGTCGCAACTAAGTATTCAGTAAAAGAACCATGAATAAAATGTGGCACATCATTTTGGAATTCACTTACAAGACCAATAGACACATATTTTTGTAAATTTTTTTCTTGATGTTGTTCAAAGTCGAGATTTAATCGTTTCAGTATCTCTTCCGAAAATATTACTTTAAGTGCCACTCTCTCGTAATTACATAAAATTTCCTGTTTTTCGTCGCGAATTCTATTAACCATGTGAGGATTTTTAAAATCAAACGCCAATTTATCTTTGTAAAAATTATTAAATTTTTCTTCAATGAAGTATTCGTATAAATCAGTCAAGAGAAATATATTTTCCATTAGTTTCAAATATTTATCTTTGTTTTGACGAAATAGTTCAGTAACCATAAAGATTTGCAGCGGAATTCCCAATATATTAACGTGTTCGATAATCGCGAACGATGATTTAATTTTTTCGATGGTGATCTCAATTTCGTCTTCAGAAATGAAAGAAGCTAAACGTTTTCTTACATAATTTTGTTGTTCTTGTTCGTCAAACTGATTTATACTATGTGCCAACACATTGAACTTTTTTTCCAGAAATGGTTTTAAATGTCTTCTACTGGTAACCCACTGAAGGAACCCTTTTATTGAGAATCTAAGTATTATTTGATACACGGCTTCTAAGTGTTCTCCTATAATTTCATCGAGCGCATCCCACACGTAAACAACATTATTTTTCTCTACACACATTTCGAAAAATCTTCGTTCGAATTTTTTGAGCGACCGACATTTTTCATTTACGATAAATTTTTCAAATAAATCTGTATATTTAGTTGTTTTAGAAAACTGAGGATTGTAAAAAAATGAGTGCACATCGGTAGGATTAATTATAATTGTCCAATATTGCAGTGAACATTTATTTTTGCAGCTTTTCATTAACTCGGATTTTCCCATGCCTGGATCGCCACATATTAAATTTATGTTATTTTCTAACCGAGAACACCACAGTTCATTTTCGTTCGTACAGTATTTATCATAATATAACTTATAAATTTCTAAATCACCAACATCGCCTCTGCTTTTAATCCATTCTAAATTACAATCATTGGAAAGTTTAAAATAGTGAATTTGTTTGGCTTCTCTATTTTCATTGTAAATTTGTTCTAGTTCTAAATCACTAAAATTTCTGTTACTTATATAAACTGTATTGCTAAAATTTGATTTATCCGGATTAAATTTATTTTTATACTGAGTTGGATTAGATTCAGACACAGAAAATTCATTTGTTTGATTTTCAAAATTCTGATTTTTGATCTGTAAGAAGTAACTGATATCAATTAATTTACATTGCTTGAGTTTGTCTTTAACTTTATCAAAATTATCGGCGCAATTTAAAATGATAATTGTGTTTTCCCAAAATTTTTCTAGGTATTTAATGTTAATAATATTTCGGGAAAGACTACGTTCAATATAGGGTTCAGGAAGAATCTCTTTCTCTCCGCCTATATAACACGTACCGTTTAGCATTTCCACCAAGTTGTCCGTTGTCACACTTTCTAAAACTTCATCGCTGTTTCCAAAAGCTGTTGCAAGATTAAGTTCCCCCTTTTCTTGGATCGATATGGTAAAATTTTGCATGATTCTTTCGCATAAATCGGGTTTCCGAATCAAGTTTGATAGATTTTGGAACACGGAATAAATTTTCATCCATTCCTTATTCTTGGCTTCGCCAATTAGGATGAACTTTTTATCGGGACAGAGCTGGATGGCCTTTTCGACGTTCTCATGTTGACGTATTATTAATGGGCACTTGTCTGTTAACCATAATAGTTGAATAAATATCCTTGGATCTATTTTGTCGATGTTTTTATTATCAATATAACTGAGTGCTGGGAAGTATCTTTTTCTCACTTTATTTAATTCTGTAAAGTCAAAGTTGTTTTCTTTTTTAATGTCATTCCACACTGGATTAAGCTTTTCGTACGATTCTTTTTCCAGTAGTGTAATGTCGAAGAGGGAAACGGCTTCTCGAAATAGTTTCACTTTATCGTTACCGGAGTTGATATTAACTGAGCCAAAATATAGGGGCTCAATATGGGAAGATAGAAGCAGTAGAGCGATTACACGTTCCGTCCACTTCTTATTTAACTTTACTTTGTTACCTTCTTGGATATTCCACTCAGACAGTCTCTTGAAGAATTTTTCGAATATTTCCTGATCCGAATAATACGTTGTTTTGAAGTTTTCAGCCACACTGTTTTTTAGAATTTCAACTTTCTTTTGATCGGTATACAGATAAAATTTATTAAAAAACCTCTGATATTCTCGAATTTTGAGAAGCATTTCAACATTCCAATCTTCTTCTATTATTTTAAACTGATATGCACAATCTATCTCAGCAAGTTCCGAAGCAGCTTTTACTTTAACAGGAACAATAGAAAATTCTTCTTCTTCCAGGTGAAATGATGCATTGTCGTCACACTTAAGTGTTCTATTAGTAAATAATATGCATTCGTCTGCGTCTTTCTTAATTTCTTGGAATGTTTTGAAATATTTCCCAATGCTGAAGTCTCCTGTTTTGGACATCAAATTTTTTGTGGACAATATTCTATTTTCGGTGTGTTTTAGCTGTACTGCTTTTATTTCGTTTCCCTTAACCGACTCAGTTTTAATAACTATGTCATCAAAAGCTCCGAACCCTTCTTCATTCGACGAAACATGAAAGTTTTTTGTTGTGGCGTCTTTTACTAGTTCTAGGATAACAAAAGCGAGAACCACATCCTCATACTCCCTGCCCCTATCCGTGGTTCCGCTTCTTTTTTTAAAACTCTGGAAAAGAATAAAGAATTGGACCATGCCATGCCGGACTCCATAAAACAGCATGAATTTAAATGCGGAAGTAAGTAAAAACCGCATAAAAAATAAATGATAACAAGAGTGTGTATTATTGAACTGAACAACTTTGAATTTTAAATCATCTGTATGATGATGAGTTAGTTTATGATTACTTTCAGTACAATGTTGCTACTATTCATACAAAAATAGATTTTTTGGCTGAATTTTATGACAATAGGATTGTTAGCTGCAATACACTAAACAACTGGCCACCTAGAAGATGTGCTCTCTTTGGGAATTCAGTTTATGCAACACCCATAGGATAACAAATAAAATTAATGAAATTAATGACAATGCAGATGTTTTAGAAATGTGGCCAATGCAGGAAGGCGAAGGGATAGATTTTCTTTACAAAGGGGGGGGGGGGAGTTCGCACTACCAGAATTTGTTGTAATTTAATGTTAAATTGTTTAATAATTTAAAATATAACAGATATCAGTATGTCCGACTGATTTATGCAGATTTTTTTTTAATATTGAAAATTTCCATAAAGTAACGTATTCTTATCGTTTCTTTTACGTTCTAAAAAAACAAATATTTGCATGACGGAACTGTTATAAAGAAGTGACCATTCCAATAACCATTATGATTTTGATTGCTTCCATTTATTTTTTATTTCAAAAGTAACTTGTCAACTATTTTTTTTAAATAAATGAATTTTGAAGCAATGCTAACTAACCAAAAATGCCATTTTCAGTAACCGTCAGTTTTTGACTGACTTTTTCTACATATTAAAGAAGCTACAATCTGGTTTAAATCTAGTTTTTAATTATTATGTAAATTTATAAAAATATAAATATATATAAATTTATAAAAATATAATTTTTTTTTTATACGCGACAATGCAAGTGACCTGGAGACTCCGCGTCGCTCACTATCAAAATACATATTTGTGTGAACAAACTCACCTCGACTTCTTCCATTTTTTAATAAAATCACACTGATGTCAACGACTGCTTGACTTTGACTAAAGTCTAGACCGGAACGTTCTATCTTATGATAACATGCGCATACGCTGAATAGTTAAATACATTATCAATCATGTTGTGAAAAAAAGCCAGCACATATTAAAACAAAAAGGCAAAATGTAAGCCCACCCACCCGCCCTATCCCAATTGTGATGATTTTTTTTTATTCGCTTTGAACCAAGGTGACGGAGGTTAACTGCAAAATACTTATTTCTTTACAAGAAGTTAAAAACATGTATTTGAGTATCGTGTTGTTCAAAGAATACTATCTATATTAAGAAAAAAAGCCAAAATATAATTAATTTCTCGTTGAGACTGTGAATAAAAAAATCATCACAATTGATATAGGGCGGGTGGGCGGGGCTACATTTTGCCTTTTTTTCTTAGTATGTGTAGACTCATTTCGAAAAAAATATTGGTAGTATTCAACTTATTAAATCCTACAATTTTCTTCTACAATCCCTATAAATACGACAAAAATTGAACATCAAAATTACTATCAACTGCAACTTGGCAACGGAGTTTATAAATGACAATTTTCAGCTTTAAAAGCAACGTCAGCGGGAACAGTAACTGCAACGGGAACTTCAACGTCAACAGTAAGTTTATAAATCCCACTGCTAACGTCAACCTAAAAAGATGTTCATAGAATGGTTACAAATCTCACAAAAATCTACGTTAAATTTTTAGAGTTGCAGACAACATAATTTTGGAAATTTTACGACTGAGGGAGCACTTGAAAGCCGACAGCATTTCTTCCCAAGAAGCGGTTCAATGGACTACACTGCAGCTTTTCAGATTCATCGTAAAATGGGGCTATTCGGAGTCTGTTCTGAGTCTAGCGCTATGTCTAAAACTTTTTTAACCATTTTAATCATAGACCTTTTTTCAAAACACCATAGTTTTTTTTTGCTATAAAATTTTGCAGTTGGACGTCAGAATGATCATTGGTTATATGTATATGTACAACATAATTAACGAAAAATAATAATCAAAATTTCGTCCAGAGTGAAAGGAAACTGATTGGATTCACATTTATATGAAACTATTAAACATGGTTGACTACAGAAATGGAGAAATTTCTTTTTGCAATTTTTTTTCCTCTTGGATTATCAGATGCCATTTACTTGCTTATCATCGCCTTATTATGTTATCGTTTTTTAATTTGTCTTTGTTATGAATTGATTTTTTTAATTAATATTTCTGGAAGAATTGGATTAGGTTAAATCCTATAAATATGAATTATTTTATTAATTTAGCAATATTTTCATAAATTTCCATTACATAAAATATGGAATACAAAACCAAACCAGGATAACAAAAGAACGAGTTCCGTGTATAAAATTAAATTCTGCGGTAACCATGGTAAAATGATAAAACGGAAAAAGAAATCTAATCTTATGTGGTATTCATTTTCCTCATGGATAACACTGAAACGGGAAATGAAATTTTTATTTTGAATAGATAAATTTGGTTGAGGATATTCCATTCCAAAAATAGACAAATCTTTGCGGGTTATTTTAATTTTATAATTTTTCAAAGAGGCTGAATCTGTTGGACTGTACTTCAGGAGGTTTAAATAACCTTGCAACAATTTTTTTGTTTTAGGAAAATTCCGTTTTTCTTTAATTATTATAAAATACATTTCTTGCATTACAAAAATTAGGCAAGGTATCAAACAAGAAGAAACAATAGGAAATTATGGCCGTAGACCGTCTCCACTTCCTGTTCTGAGTTTCTGGTTTCTGAGAATAATATTAGTAATAAAATCGTGTCCTCGATAGCAGGCGAGCCGTTAACACTCTACTATTTTCTGTGATATATATTTCTATTATATGTTGTTGTGAGTGACATCTTATTTAGAATAGCTTATGAAAAAAATTGGTCTAAAGAGTTTAGACAGTACTTCCCTCGCTGTCGGAAACTTGACGACTGCATGCCTATTGTGTTTTTTTTCTCATTACATTTTTGTAGTGGGAATTTAAAAAAAAATTGCGATGACGTCATCAACATTTTTGCAAGGACACGTATATCAGTTGGGATAGATGTAGTGTAATACTAAGAATAAAATTATTATATTCTCAAATTTTCGGGAAAATGAATTGGGTCGTTTGAATATTGATTTGTAATAATCAATAAAATAACGAAACAATTTACTCACGTATACCTACGTATCAGAGGCAACTGAAAATCGTGTATGTATAAACATTGTTAATTTAAGATGACAGGCGTAACAGCATACGTGAGAGCCAAACACAGAAACTGTAAACAAAACGACCGTCGGTTTTATTGCTTCGACTTCCGCTTATTATATAAAACATTGGGTTTTATTTTAATTCTTGACGGTGAAATTCACAATTGGTTGATTATAAACATGTCTATTTCACATTCGCGGAATCAAGTGAACGCATAAAACAAATGCAGGTCTGTAATGTTAAAGTCGATGTAAATAAGCGTGCTACCCTTATGTTTCAACCGAGTTTTTCCTTTAACAAATTTTGTGTCTACCAAATTGGGTTGGTTGGGGTGTAATACTAATAATAAGTGTTGCCTTTAATTTAATCAATAAAATAAATTGACTTCATTAATTCTTTTGAACCACCCCTTAAGAAAATCTAAAAAATATGAATGGAATGATAAATCACAAGTACAAACTCATCATATTTTTTGCATTTTAGATAGGATTTATTCAGCAAAATTTAAGGGTGACGTCATCAATTTTTTTAGGAGGGATGAACAAATACATTTTGAACAAAAGTTTACCATGCTTATAATAACTTTAAAATATTCCCAAGATTTCAAAGCATTCGGTTTTGTAATTCCTGATTAAATCGATAAAATAAATTCACGCCTTCATTAATTTTTTTGAGTCACCCTGCATATGCAAATCCAAAAATATGAATGGAATGATAAATCACAAGTACAGACTCATCATATTTTGTACATTTTAGATACGATTTATTCGGAAAACTTTTGAGCTGACGTCATCAGTTTTTTATAGAAGATAACCAAATATATTTTGACTAAAAATTTATTATGCTCTTTATAACCTTAAAACATCTGCAAGATTTCAAAGCATTCGGTTTTGTAGTTCCTGATTAAATCAATAAAATAAATTTACGCATTCATTAATTTTTTTGAGTCACTCTGTATATGCAAATCCAAAAATCCAAAAAATATGAATGGAGTGATAAATGACAAGTACAGGCTCATCATATTTTGTACATTTTAGATATGATTTATTCGGCAAACTTTCGAGCTGACGTCATCAAGTTTTTGGAGGGGATAAGCAAATATATTTTGACTAAACATTTATTATGCTCTTTATGACCTTAAAACATCTGCAAGATTTCAGAGCATTCGGTTTTGTAGTTCCTGATTAAATCAATAAAATATATTTACGCATTCATTAATTTTTTTTGAGTCACCCTGTATATGCAAATCCAAAAAATATGAATGGAGTGATAGATCACAAGTACAGACTCATCATATTTTGTACATTTTAGATATGATTTATTCCACAAACTTTTGAGCTGACGTCATCAAGTTTTTGGAGGGGGTAAGCAAATATTTTTTGACTAAAGATTTATGATGCTCTTTATAGCCTTAAAACATCTGCAACATTTCAAAGCATTCTGGTTAGCAGATTAAAAATTAAATTTCAAAATGTTGTTTTATAATTTTGATTTTTTTTCCAAAAATCTGGACGTTTCGGGTGAAAAGTCGATTCAGAGTTGTAAACTACATGTGTAGGACTATGTTATTTTATACAATTGAAAACCCATTTACTATGTACAATTTTGAAGTGACGTCATCGCTTTAGTGGTGGGGATGATTCGACAAATTTTGGTTAGCGTTTTACCATCTACATGATATTCTTAATATAAGTACAAAATTTCACAACAATCGGTCGAGTACTTTCGGAGATTATCTGTCTAATAAAAATCCGGGACAACAGACGGACAGACGGACAGACGGACAGACGGACGGACAGACGGACAGACAGACGGAAATGGGAGGCCTATTTCTTCGTCTTCTAGGGGTCATGAAAGATCGAGAAAACGTAAAAGTAGAGAGTCGGCCGACGGACTCGATTACAATACTTCCTTTGCTTACGCTCGGGAAGTAAAAACGAAAAAAAAAATGAAATACCGTTATTTTAACACATAGAGATTTTTGGAAAAGTTGGATAAGTTGTACTGTACCTCAAGGGCGAGGCAAGTTCTGTGGAAGTAACCTTCGATCAATTTTTTGAAAAATATACTAGTAGTACAAAACACAAAAACGTAAGCTTTGTTATGCACAAGTTTTCAATTTTTAAACACAAACCAAGCACAATAAATTTTTCTTAAAATTGTGGCTGTTCGTTTTCTAGACGTGAAATTTCTCATATTTTGTTTTTCTCGAAACAACAATACAAAACAAACGCTTCGTACGCTAAGATTTTTTTAAAACTGGCTACAAAAACATATTACCCTTTAACGCCCGAATTTTTCAAAATAGTGCTAAGTTATATTCTTTTGCTTCCTGTGTTTGTTTTGGACGCTTATACTAAAAACTAGTTTTACTTTTTTTCCGTGCTTTGTTTTTGAGAATTCAGCACAACGACGCCGGTTGGAGAATTCTAGTGGTGTCCCATTCCATTCAAACGTATTTCGTAGGAACCTCTACTGCCGATGGTACTCTTTCGTGACACACAAGGACGGCCAGCACTTTTTTGGCAAGCATTGATTTTGCCGCAAAAGACATAACGCAATTTCTCTTCTAAATTCCTAGACCACCACTTTTTTTAACTGATTGAAACCCTATAATAAGATATATTTTCGTCCATACGATCAGCACCAAGAAAAAAAGTGTTGTAATTTGCAAAAAATGTGGGTCTCTCAGTTCGAATATTTTTTCTTTCTTTTTAAGACTACTTCCAGCTTTCAAATTAGTTTCACTTATCATCATTTGTTTAGAAGACACTAGTTGCTCTATGTCTTCATCGCAGTTCCCAGTATCTGAAGTTCGTCCTTACTTATTATCCTCAACAGAAGATTTCTTCTTCAAATTACTTCAACCCCTGCCCTAAGTTGATTGCTACTTAAATTGTCTTTGTCCCTAGAATCTGCGTCTCCTGAACTCCAGGTTCTAGGAGTTCTGTATAAATACAGTTTACTTTTTGAAAATCGTCGTCCTCGATCATAGCTAAGGCTTCGGTCAAGGTTTATTGATGTTAGAAAAAAATACTAAGTTAAAAATATAATAAAACAAATTAGAAACCAAAAACTCTGGAAATAAATTGACATCATGTTCATAACATAAATAAAGAAGCAATATTTTCATATTCATGCTAAGTGTTCATACGATCACAGCAATAATTTACTTCTAATTACAAAAAGTGTTATACTAGCCATAATGCAAGAGAGTTATGTAAACCAATGTAAAATAAGAAGAAGAAGAAAACTTAATCAAACATTGGATAATGATGCATCCTTGTTAAGTCCTGGAGATAGTAGATATGGTGAGAAAAGTACGGTCTGAACTCTTCATACTAATTTTTGGGTTAAATTAACATCGAAAAACTGAGTCTTGTACAAATTAACATTATATTCTTTAAATATATTGACAAAATTTTAGCAACACTACAAAATAGACGATTGATATACGAACATTTTTTAAAAAATAGCTAAAAAAATACAACGTTTGTTGCTGCTTCTACGTATATACTAACAATAATACGACGTTATATAAGTAACGAGAAATTTCTGCTAGCAACCATTATTTTTTGTGGAATCGCGGTCTAATTGGTCCTCTTCGTCCACAACCTCTTCCTGACGATGTGACGTAAGTTTTTCTGCAACTTGGTGATATTTTCTTGTTGAAGGTCCAGTTCATCTGTGGGGATGTTAAAATCGGCCAGTTTTCCGTGCAAGCTTTGCATGTACAAGTAAACATGAAGATCTTTCGAAGTCTTCCTCACCGGGATTGTTGCTCAAGTTCCGAAAAAATGATGCTCTAAAACAAAACAAAAAATCAGTCATAATGTGCCATTTAATCGACAAATTTAGTTTCTAATGGTTTTTAGACAACTAGGATTTCTTCAATTTTGATATCTCTAGTGATTATTATGTGCCTACCGTATTTTTCGTTGGTTTGTAGCTCGATTGAGTTTCTTGTTGATTGAATTAGGTCGTTTTTGTCAGACGGTGGAATTTCGTAGGCTCTAACTGTTCGTGCTGAACCATCTAGGGCTTCTTACGCTCGGGATAACCGCTATAGACAGCTCTTTCAGTGTCCTAGGAAAAAAAAAATAAGTACTGACATTAATAGATTAATTACGATACGATAACGGGAACATTACGTTAAATCACAAAGTCATTTGTGTATTTGAAATTAAAATATTCCAATGTACCTACTCGAGTTGTGTTTTGGTAATATCAAGTGTCTGTTCTTTAGATTTTTTTATGCTAGTATCGTAATGAAGCATTCCAGAATGATAATTTAGGATCTTTAATGTCTGTTGTATGATTGAACAAAAATGTTTGCAACCGAGCATAGACGAACTGTATAAGGAAGAATTTCGTTCAGATTATTAAAAAAAAAGACTTATATAAGCCTCAGAATTTCCGCCGCGTTCCTCTCATCATATCATCAGATTTTTCGCAATTTCGCTATTTAAATCTTTAAACAAAAATTTCATAATTTAGCACTATAGAGTGAAATTTGACATCCCTGTCCTTACGTGAATGAATAACAATTATGAAACACTTAAAATTCAATAAAAAAAGAGTGCGAATGCGTTTAGAAAAAAGACATAACTTTTTCAACATTTTTTAATGTGCTATTTTTTAATAAAATTGTTTTTTTTTATATACCTATAAATAGAAACATAATGTTAAAGCAAATAAAGAATTTATCATATCATTTTAAGTGGATATCTTGTCCTTTAATTTTATATGATTAAAATTGTTCGTTTTCAAGTGAGTATCCTGCAGTTTACGCAACCATTTAAACACTTCGCAAAAGCAAAAGACAATTCGAACGAGGCGGATTAAATCAATGATTTCTTGGACGAATAAATTACATATGAAAGCCTTCTACACTTTTTGGACACCTAAATACATTTGTTGAAAAATATAATAAAATGAAAGTCTTCACGAGGAAGAAAAATCAAAAGGCTTATTAAAGTGAATGAAAAGAAAACTCCATTTCCAAAATTAACAAAGTTAAGTAAGTTAAAAGGACACACATGTTGACGTCGTCATATCATCGATATAGAATATATTACTGAATTTATTCACAACAGCACTTAATATGAAACCGTAACGTTTATCAAGTATGTTTCCTATACAGTTTACTTAACAAAAATGTGTACCAACCTTTCTTACAGGAAGAAAAAAGAAACATTTCTTGAAGTGTTCGAAAAAGATCTCTGGTTTCTAAGGTGATCCTCCATTGCCTAAGCCTATTGTCTAATTTGAGTACTTAGTCCACCACTGAAACACATAGATTATGTTGTTATACACTTAATAATACAAATAAATTTATAATCAATAAAAAAGTTACAGAAAAATGTGAAAATACTAAACATAATTATTACTGATTAGATTTTACTTACACCACGGCGCGAGGTAACAAAATGACACAAAGAAGAATGGCTCATTTTGGAGAGTTCAACTTTTTTACTTGAGTCAGTCGTTGTTTTGTAGAAGATTGGAAGTATTTCATAATTTCTTCTTTCTTGTGTACACCTTTGCTAGAAAGGTAAAGTCAAAGTAAAAATAACGAGAGTATGTATTTCTTACCTTCGTTATAGATATGTATACAGCTTCACTTGTACTGCATTTTACAATAGGGCTAAATTTACTATAAATTACACCTTTTTGTTAGAATTTGTGACTGATGAGGCGATTCTGGAACATAATTTTTGAATTTTATGTTCACGATATGTAAACATATTTACCAAAATTATTTCTTCATTTTCTGGGTTGTTCCTTTGCATCTTTAAATTGTTGTAAAAATCAATCAGGAAAATATGGAGGAATATGCTAAACGGTCTCATGCATTGCTTTTTGTTTATTTAATATTTAAAAGAGAAAACACAATTCTATTTTATCTCAAGGTCTTATTTTATTCGTAATAGTGTGTGTACATTTACTAGTAATTTTTAATTTTTGATCAAACTCAATAATACTAGTTGCGAAAAAAATACACAATTGAGTACTCTTCCAAGTCATGAATATCAAAGAAAAAGCAGAGGCGATGAGGTGATGTAAAGAAATTTTGAAGTGCTGCTTTTCATTGATTTTAGACCTAGGTTGATTGTTATTTTTGCGAATGGTTTCGGAAAAAGCGTTGTACATTCCAACGAAGAACAAAAAGTATAATGAATTGGACTTAAAAATAAAGGATAATACAACTGAATCGGCAGATTACTCGTACATTAACTGCATTTATGAGCAGCATCGAAGGACAGCATATATCTTTAGGGCACATCAAGATTACCAAATGAAGTTTTCAAAGCAACAAAAACAACAAATATATTCCTAATAGTTATTTACCGTATTAGTGTCTCATTTATTAGGCATTCCTCAGTCGTTCACTGTACATTAAGAATTCTCGATCAAATAAAGCTGAAACAGAAGAACTGATTCAAGGACAGGAGATTCTGCAATTAAAGCACGAAAAGTCCCCTTTTAAATTTTGTGTCATTAGTGCGACCTTGTAAATAAGTATAAAGTATGTATAGATTAATATAGATGCGAGATGGAGGTTGATTTTGCAAAACCACCCTCATTAACATTGGAGTCCTCAACCGTTTTGGGTAAGTGCGAAATTTAAATAGTCGATGCCAATAAAAACATTGTTGCACTATAATTGTAATTCGTGTGATTTAAATGAAAGTGAAGGAAACAGTAAGCAGCTTGTAATATTCTGATTAACCTAGTGCCAATTTGTCGAAAATAAAACGCGTCGTTAAAAATATTGTGACATTTCTTCTAGTTAATTTTATTCCTAATTAGAAACAAGCACTGCTACTAACAGAAACTGATGTGTTCTTAACTGTCATTTGATTTAAACTATGACGTTTTTCTATGTCCTCTGGTGTACCTCATCAAGGTATTTCTGAAGTATTTAGGTATATGTATAAAAAATATATTTAACAAAGCGGTATAATATTAGCGCCCGTTCTCAGTGAATTTACAGATATTAACATCTTCTATTGCATGAAATCGCAAGACGTGATACATGAATTATATCCTCTGTAAAATAACCAGCACTGACTTAGTGATACTAAACCTACGCTTTGTTCATGGAGGTGAAAAAATTGCTACATTAAACTACAACCAGACCCTTCGGAGAAGTTCTCGTTAGTAGGATTCCTTCTAGAAGCGCCGACTTTCTTTAAATACTCGACAACTTTTTTATGGCCGTTTTGGGAAGCTATGTAAAGTGGTGTCCAACCGTTTTTATTGGCGCGATTGATTTCGGCGCCGACTGTCACCAAGTATTCGACAATTCTTTCGTGACCGTTTTGTGAAGCTATATGTAGTGGTGTCCAGCCGTTATTTGTAGCGCGATTGATTTCGGCGCCGACAGTCCCCAAATATTCGACAACTTTTTCGTGACCGTTCCAAGAAGCTATGTGAAGTGGTGTCGCACCGATTTTTTGAGCGCGATTGATTTCGGCGCCGGCTGTCGCCAAGTATTCGACAACTTTTTCGTGACCGTTTTGTGAAGCTACGTAAAGTGGTGTCGCACCGGTTTTATTAGCACGATTGATTTCGGCGCCGACTGTCACCAAGTATTCAACAACTTTTTTGTGACCGTTTTGTGAAGCTGTGTAAAGTGGTGTTGCCCCGTTTCTTTTAGCGCGATTGATTTCGGCGCCGGCTGTCGCCAAGTATTCAACAACTTTTTCATGACCGTTTTGTGAAGCTATGTAAAGTGGTGTCGCACCGTTTCTTTTAGTGCGATTGATTTCGGCGCCGGCTGTCGTCAAGTATTCGACAACTTTTTCGTGACCGTTTTGTGAACCTAAGTAAAGTGGTGTCACACCGTCATTTTCAGCGTGATTGATTACGCCGCCGACTGTCGCCAAGGATTCGACAACTTTTTCGTGACCATTATAGGAAGCTGTGTGAAGTGGTGTCCAACCGTCATTCATAGTGGAATTGATTTCGGCGCCGAATGTCGCCAAGTATTCAACAACTTTTTCGTGACCGTTTTGTGAAGCTATGAAAAGTGGTGTCATACCGTCATTAGTAGCGCAATTGATTTCGGCGCCGACTGTCGCCAAGTATTGGACAACTTTTTCGTTACCGTTTTGTGAAGCTATGTAAAGTGGTGTCACACCGTTATTGGTAGGGCGATTGATTTCAGCGCCGATTGCCAGCAAGTAATCGACAACTTTTTCGTGACCGTTGTGTGAAGCTATGAAAAGTGGTGTCATACCGTCATTCGTATCGCAATTGATTTCGGCGCCGACTGTCGCCAAGTATTGGACAACTTTTTCGTTACCGTTTTGTGAAGCTATGAAAAGTGGTGTCATACCGTCATTCGTATCGCAATTGATTTCGGCGCCGACTGTCGCCAAGTATTCGACAATTTTTTCGTTACCGTTTTGTGAAGCTATGTAAAGTGGTGTCACACCGTTATTGGTAGCGCGATTGATTTCAGCGCCGATTGCCAGCAAGTAATCGACAACTTTTTCGTGACCGTTTTGTGAAGCTATGAAAAGTGGTGTCATACCGTCATTAGTAGCGCAATTGATTTCGGCGCCGACTGTCGCCAAGTATTCGACAACTTTTTCGTGACCGTTGAAGGAAGCTACGTAAAGTGGTGTCACACCGTCATTCGTAGCGCGATTGATTTCGGCGCCGACTGTCGCCAAGTATTCGACAACTTTTTCGTGACCGTTTTGTGAAGCTATGTAAAGTGGTGTCGCACCGTCATTCATAGCGCGATTGATTTCGGCGCCAATTGTCACCAAATATGCGACAACATTTTCGTGACCGTTTTGTGAAGCTATGAAAAGTGGTGTCGCACCGTTTTTATTAGTGTTATTGATTTCAGCTCCGACTGTCGCCAAGTATTCGACAACGCTTTCGTGGCCCTTCTGTGAAGCTATGTAAAGTGGTGTCACACCGTCATTCGTAGCGCCATTAATTTCGGCGCCGACTGTCGCCAAGTATTCGACAACTTTTTCGTGACCGTTGAAGGAAGCTACGTAAAGTGGTGTCACACCGTCATTCGTGGCGCGATTGATTTCGGCGCCGACTGTCACCAAGTATTCGACAACTTCTTCGTGACCTTTTTGTGAAGCTATGTAAAGTGGTGTCGCACCGCCATTCATAGCGCGATTGATTTCGGCGCCGACTGTTGCTAAGTATTCTACAACTTTTTCGTGACCGTTTTGTGAAGCTACGTAAAGTGGTGTCGCACCGTCATTCTTAGCGCGATTGATTTCGGCGCCGACTGTCACCAAGTATTCAACAACTTTTTTGTGACCGTTTTGTGAAGCTATATAAAGTGATGTCACACCGTTTTTATTAGCGCTATTGATTTCGGCGCCGACTGTCGCCAAGTATTCGACAACTTTTTCGTGACCGTTGAAGGAAGCTATGTGAAGTGGTATCCAGCCGCTATTCTGAGCCCTGTTGATTTCGGCACCGGCTATTGCCAAGCATTCCACCACTTTTTCGTGACCCATTTCAGAAGCTACGAAGAGTGGTGTCTCACCGTGTTTATTACCTCGATTAATTTCAGGGCCTGGCTTCACTAAGCCACCGAAAGGGCTGTCAAAAGTCCTACAACTGATTTCTTCACCGACATTTAGAAAATATTCTAAAGTATTTTTGTAGCCGTTTTGGGGCGCAAAGTGAAACGGTGTCTCACGAAGTTTCGTGGGTTTGTTCATTTCGTCATTTAAATATAACAAGTATTTAACAATTTTTATATGACCACTTTTACTCGCTAATAATAGAGGTGTTTCAGCATTTTCTGCAGTAACAAATTTGGTGTCGTACCCACGATTTTCTCTGGTTTTCATCTCTTGGGTAATAAGAAGTTCACACACTTGATCGTATCCAAGTAAAGAAGAATAATATAAAATATTAACGTTATCATTAAGAGAATTTGCTTGACGATTCAATTCTTTATTTTTTGCTTGAAGTAATATTATTTCCGCCCCTAAACTCTCACTTTTTTTGGCATAAGACAACGGAGTCGCATCTAGCAAACTATCGTGTTCTTCAACGTTATTCTTGCTCTGCAAAAAGATTACCGTTTCAAAATATGCTTCGTTTTCTGCTTGTCTATCGAAATTGCTGTCTTCGTGCACAATACACTTCCCATTTTCAACCGTTATTTTTATACGCGAATGTCTTTGTCCCCATGAAGAAATCACATGTAAAGCACTTCTACCACCTTTATCTTTGCGTGTTAAAGTTTCGTCATCATAAGTTTTAAGTAATTCATACTTCTTATACAAGACAGCAATGTGAGCTTTACAATTTTTGACTAACAACATGTCAAAAAAGAAACGAACATTATTATACTTTGGATTAAACATTAAGTCACCAAGTATATCATAAAAGATATTTAAATTTTTTGAAAAATATGTTGCAGCTAAGTATTCAGCAAAAGAACCATGAACAAAATGTGGCACATCATTTTCGAATTCACTTACAAGACCAATAGACACACATTTTTCTAAAATTTTTTCTTTGTGTTGTTCACAGTCAACATTTAATCGTTTCAGTACTTCTTCCGAAAATATCACTTTAAGTGCCACTCTCTCGTAATTACCTAAAATTTCCTGTTTTTCTTCGCGACTTCTACTAACCATGTGAGGATTTTTAAAATTAAACACCAATTTATCTCTGTAAAAATTATTAAATTTTTCATCAATGAAGTATTCGTATAAATCAGTCAAGAGAAATATATTTTCCATAAGTTTCAAATATTTGTCACTGTTTTGACGGAACAGTTCGGTAACCATAAAGATTTGAAGTGGAATTCCCAATATATTAACGTGTTCGATAATCGCGAACGATGATTTGATTTTTTCAATGACGATTTCAATTTCGTCTACAGAAATGAAAGACGACAAACGTTTTCTTACATAATTTTGTTGTTCTTGTTCGTCAAACTGATTTATACTAAGTGCCAATACATTGAATTTTTTTTCTAGAAATGGTTTTAGATGTTTTCTACTAGTAACCCATTGAAGGAATCTTTTTGCTGAGAAACCGATGATTATTTTTGTCACAGCTTCTAAACATTCTCCTACAATTTCATCCAACGCGTCCCAGACGTAAACAACATTATTTTTCTCTACACACATTTCGAAAAACCTTCGTTCGAAACCCTTGAGGGACCGAGAATTTTTATTTACGATAAATTTTTCAAATAAATCTGTATATTTAGAAGTTTTGGAAAACTTAGAATTGTAAAAAAAAGAGTGCACATCGTTAGGACTAATTATAATTGTCCAATGTTTCGGTGAACATTTATTTTTGCAGCTTTTCATTAATTCGGTCTTGCCCATGCCCGGATCGCCACATATTAGATTTATGTTATTATCTAATCGAGAACACCACAGTTTATTTTCGTTCGTACAGTATTTTTCATGTAACTTATAAACCTCTAAATCACTAACATCGCCTTTGCTTTTAACCCATTCTAAGTTACAATCACTGGAAAGTTTAAAGTAGTGAAATTGTTTGGCTTCTCTATTTTCATTGTAAATTTGTTCCAGTTCTAATTCACTAAAATTGCTATTACTTATATAAACTGAATTGGTAAAATTTGATTTATCCGAATGAAAGTTATTTTTATATTGAGTTGGATTGCATATATAAAGTTTATTTTTTTGATTTTCAAAATTCTGATTTTTTTTCTGTAAGAAATTATTTACAACAATTAATTTGCATTGTTTGACTTTGTCTTTAACTTTATCAAAATTATCGGCGCAATTTAAAATGATAATTGTGTTTTCCCAAAATTTGTCTAGGTATTTAATGTTAATAATATTTCGGGAAAGACTCCGCTCAACATAAGGTTCAGGAAGAATCTCTTTTTGTCCCCCTATGTAACACGGACCATGTAGCATTTCCACCAGCTTGTCCGTTGTGACGCTTTCTAAGAATTCTTCGCTATTGTCAAAAGCTGTTGCAAGATTAAGTTCTCCCTTTCCTTGGATGGATATGGTAAAATTGTGCATCAATATTTCGCGTAAGCCGTGTTTCTGTTTCAAGTTTGATAGATCTTGGAAAACGGTATAGTTTTCCATCCACTCCTCATTCTTGCCTTCTCCAATTAGGATGAACTTTTTACCGGAACAAAGCTGGATGGCCTTTTCGACGTTCTCATGTTGACGTATTATTAATGGGCACTTGTCTGTTAACCATAATAGTTGAATAAATATCCTTGGATCTATTTTGTCGATGTTTTTATTATCAATATAACTGACTGCTGGGAAGTACCTTTTTCTTACTTTATTTAATTCTCTAAAGTCAAATTTTTTTTCTTTTATAATGTCATCCCACACTGGTTTAAGCTTTTCGTACGATTCTCTTTCAAGTAGTGTAATGTCGAATAAGGAAACGGCTTCTCGAAATATTTTCATTTTATCGTTAACGGAATTGACATTAATTGAGCCAGAATATAAAGGCTCGATATAGGAACATAAAAGCAGTAGCGCGATCACTCGTTCCACCCACTCTTTGTTTAGCTTTTCTTTGTTGCCTTCTTTGATTTTCCACTCAATTAGTCTTTTGAGGAATTTTTCAAATATTTCCTCATCCGAATAGTACGTTGTTTTAAAGTTTTCAGCTACATTGTTTTTTAGGTTTTCAACTTTTTTTTGATCGGTATACAGATAAAATTTACTAAAAAACTTTTGATATTCTCTTATTTTGAGAAGCATTTCAACATTCCAATCTTCTTCTATTATCTTAAACTGATACGCACAATCTATGTCTGCAAGTTCCGAAGCAGCTTTTACTTTAACAGGAATAATAGAAAATTCTTCTTCTTCCAGTTGAATTGTTGTATTGTCGTCACACTTGAAAGGTCCGTTAGTAAATAGTATTAATTCGTCAACCTCTTTCTTTATTTCTTGAAAACATTTGAAATATTTGAGAATGCTGAAGTCTCCTGTTTTGGACATCAAACTTCTTGTGGACAATATCTTATTTTTGTTGTGTTTTAGCTGAACTGCTTTTATTTTGTTTCCCTTATTTGATTCAGTTTTAATAACTATGTCATCAAAAGCTCCGAACCCTTCTTCATTTGACGAAACATGAAAATTCTTTGTTTCGACGTCTTTTATTAGTTTTAGGATAACGAAAGCGCGAACCACATCCTCATACTCCCCACCTCTATCCGTGGTTCCGCTTCTTTTTTTAAAATACTGAAAAGAAGTAAAAATCATGTGAATGTAAATGCGGAAGTACAAACCGCACAAAAATGAAATGCTAACAAGATTGTTTACAATTGAATTGAACAACTTTGAAATAAAGATAGAAACAATAAAATCCGAAAAAGAATTTATATAAATTGTAACCAAAAATTGGTGGAAAATACACTCTCTCTCTTCTCGGGTAGGTGTTCTACTAGGTGTTCTGACTTCTGAATTATCCGACGCCGTAGTTATTTCTTCTCACTTTCCACGTTATGTTATACCACCACAAAACCATAAGGGACAAAGCAAAGCAAAAAAAGTTTATGCAAATACAGCTTAAGGTTAACTACTAAAACATCACAATTAATGGCAAAGAATGGAGGTGGAATAACTAGAATAAGAGTTTAGAAGAAAGGTTGTTAACAAAAGATTAAATGAAGATAATTTCGAAATAATAAAATCAAACCCTCGTCTTTACTTTAACTGAACAATCTTTACTACGATCCCTTTATTCGTTTCAGGTTGCTTGCAGAACTATAGCTCCTCTATTATAAAAATTGTAATTGTACATGAATTTCCTCGAACTGATTTTGCTCAAAGAGTTCAATGGTTTCTAAATATTCGATTAGAATGACTATCTCGAAAAAACGTTTTAGTTGCAATTAGCCAAAACAAAATTATTGGTATAGTTTTTTTATGGTAAAAATTAACCCGTAGTTACTTTCATTTATTTTTTTATTTCAAAAATATCTGGTCAATACAAAACACTTGTCACGTTTTTTTAATAAATGAATTTTGAACCAGTGCTTGCTAACCAAAAATGCCATTTCAATAACCGTCAGTTTTTGACTGACTTTTTCTACACTCTAAAGAAGCCGCCATCTGGTTCAAATCTATTTTTTTATTATACACCCGTTAAAATTTTAGATTCATTTTCTGCATACAGCTTGAAAAAGTTAAGCAACCACAGTGCACAGTGTTATTTATGTTCATAAAAATACATATACTCGGTTTTAGTTTTCCTCATACTTAATTTTTATGATTGATATTAGATATGAATATTCTTGATGTTTTTTTTAATATTTTCTTTTTTATAAAGTGGCATTTAGTCAAGAACGTTCAAACGACCTTTTTGGTATAAGAAACATTTTCCATTTGTGAGAGATATCAAAAATTTTATCTGCGCAATTTTATAAATGACGGAAAGATGTAAAATTAAAATAAATATTTTTTTTAAATACATTTTATGCAAATAAAAATATCATAAAAGAAAAGAAAAACATCTGTAGAATGTTAATTGATCCATACTTTTAGCGTCATACGTTAACACTTAACTTTAGTTTTAATAATCGATATTTTTGTTGTACGAATAAAATAATAAAATGAAAGTAAAATATGTGTGGACAGTTAAATGAAAAGAAATACTCACCTCGATGTTCTCCATTTCTAGAGTTGAAATCACTAGTGCAAAAAAAAACTGTAGCCAGAAAACTTTACTACTGAACTGATATCATCTAAAAACGTTCGCTTACTTATAGGCTGCACTAAATGATGACTTTTTGATAACATAAACACACCTTTAAAGTCACGTAAAATATTCAATAAATATTTGTTTAAAACTAAAATATTTTAGTGGGCACGACATTTCAAATAAAAAAAAAACTTGTTTTTAGATACTGAAAACAAATAAGAACAGAAATAACTAAATGAACATTTTATTTTTTACTTATTCAATTTAATATTAATAATAATAAATAATAAATAATAAATAATAATAATAAATTAATTTTCCAACAGAAAATGAAAATGTCTATAGTGGATACATAGTACAAAATCACATAATATAACAATAAAATAATTATATTTATATGCAACCATTGATACTAAGTCCAAAAATTTAAATTTAAATGTTAACGATATTCTACTTTCAACAATTCTTTCTTGACAACAGGAGTATTGAAATTTTTATGGAAAATATCGAACTGATTATTATTAGTAGAAATACTATCTATATCCGTTTCTAATTCAAACCATCGGGTTTTTAAGTTTTCCAAAATTATTATTGTTTTCTGTGGCTGTTCAAAACATTTGTCATAAAATATGACTTTAGTTGATTCCATTTTTAAGTGAAGACGCCTTTGGGGAATACGCTAGGAAAATTATACGTAATTTTTATTTTTTTTGCTATTTTCGATAACGTACAGCAAATATGACGTAAGTATCGGGTGTTATTTTTATTAAATGTTAGAGGCTATTTAATTTAAGATACTATTTAAGATTAGGTACCTACCTACTTTACGGTTTCGTGTACTTTATCAACATAAAAAAAATTGGGCGTTATTTTTATGTGTATTTTATAAAATTTACTGATAACACTGATTTAATATATGACCACGAGCAAACAAAATGAGCCGTCATTATATGTTTACTATCATTATCATGCTTAAAAAATACATTTTAGGATACTTGTGTCCTGTTCAAAAATAGCTATTAATAAACGAAAAAGTAGAACGCTGAGTGTATAATAGGTACATAAATTGAGTATTATTTGGTACTAAGTAATATTTACTAATGACTCTTGCGAGTAAAAGTGTACAAAACAATGATATAATATTGAGGTATTGTAGATTATAAAAATTGTCGTGACCTTATATGGAAAAGCAAATATACAGTAGGTATGTTAAAATAAACAACTTAGACAAACACAGATAACATTTACATAAATGGTACATTATTTCCCAGTAAATTTTGGGATTTATTGATAACTTTCGATAGTTTTACCCGACGGTTCGCTACTTTTATGTTTTCTTGTCGTTCTAGCAATCACTCATTTTGTCATTTACCCATTTCATTCTTAATTTTGTCGGTCGTTATTTTAGTACTGACAATTGAAATTGAGTTCAAAATGCCAAAATTTCTGCAAATGTCCACGGCTGGCTAAAATAGTATCCCGAACTAGTGTTAGATGAAAATTCTCAATCTGTTTTTTGTAGACTATGCTGTAAAAAGGTAAGTAAGGTATCCAGATTTTTGTTAATGCTATATTTTTGAATTTGTCACTTTTACTTTTATTAGTTCCAATTTCAAACAATTGCTTTAATTTATTGATATCTTATTGCTTTCAATTAAACGCGAGAAGTAAGACATGGAATTGCTTGTTTGTCAGTAAGTTTTTCTGCAACTTGGTGATATTTTCTTCGTCGAAGGTCCTCTTCATCTGTGGGGATGTTAAAATCGGCCAGTTTTCCGTGCAAGTTTTGCATGTACAAGTAAACATGAAGATCATTTGAAGTCTTTCTTACCGCGATTATTGCTCATGTTTCGAAAAAATGATGCTCTAAAACAAACAAAAAAATCAGTCATAATGTGCCATTTACTATACTAAACGTGATATTCCTAAGAGAATAATGTTTCCATTTGCGGAAAATTATTTAAACTATGACGTCATAAACACAGTTCAAGCTGAGCTTACCCGTAGGAAATGAAGCACTGTGCTGCTTTCTTAATGGGCGAACAATCTCCAATAATAATTGTAGATCCGCAATAAATCCACGTGGAATTAGGAAAATACCAATTATTATTAAACACGCTGAATAGAGCATATAGTCCAGTTCCGTACATACATAGGTCTCCCATATTTGGGGCAGGTTGCAGAAATATAATTCTTTAAACCTTTCATCACGTCTGCTGATCTCCTGGAATAGGCTTTTCTCTTAACAAAAGGAAAAGTTTCGCAGAGAACAAAGGCAATAGATACAGTTTTTCCAATATATATTCAAAGCTGTGAGCCTGCAATTTTGCAACTTCCCGAACCATAATCAGGTTCAGTCTCATTTTCGTCATTCGTTGCCCCAAGCGTGATTTTTAAAGCAAGCAGCCAGTAGTCAGTGAGACACATGAAGTGATCTAAGAAGGGCTCCTCTGATGTCCTAAAAAAAATATAAGAACTAATAGTCATAGATTACGAGGCAAACGGTTTTTTAAAAAACTCTACTGGGAACATTACGTTAATTCAAAGAGTAATTTGTGTGTTTGAATTTAAAACATTCCCGCTTACTCGAGTTGTGTGTTTGGTAATAACAAGTGTCTGTTCTTTAGAAGAAGACACATTTATTTATGTAATTATCGTAATGAAGCATTCTAGAATGATAATTTAGGATTTTAATTTCCACAATGTTCCTCCAATGATATCATTAGATTTTTCACTATTTCGCTATTTAAGTGGTCAAATCTTCAAACAAGAATTTAATAATTTAGAAGAAATACAAAGTGAAAAAACATTTTCAGTCCTGTTTTTTAATAAATTGATATATATATATATATAATCATAATAAATCAGTGGCCTCCTGGACGTATAAATCACATGTGAAAACCCTACGGACATTTGGAATATCTAAATACCTACTAGGAAGTAAAATCAAAAGGGGCCAATTCAAAAATTATAAAAAAAGCTTTGGTCTACAGGAGTTTGGGGAGAAAACTGACTTCTTTTTTTATACGAAACAGTAATGTTTATCAAGTATGTTTTCTGTACAGTTTATTTAAAACAAAACAAAAAAAGTTTTATGAACCAACCTTTCTTACAGGAGCAAAAATATAACTATGCAGAACCGTTTCTGGAAGGAGAATTTCTTAAAGTGTTCTAAGAAATCTTTGGTTTCTTGGACATGGTCCGCCATTGTCTAAGTCTCTTAAATGTTTTGTTTATTTTGGGCACTTAGCTTGCCACTGAAACATGTAGACTATGTTGTAGGTACACTTATAACACAAATAAATTTATAATCATTGAAAAAAGTTACAGAGAAACGTGAAAATACTAAACATAATAATTATGTATTAGATTTTACTTACACCACGAAGCGGCGTAACAAAATGACATCAAGAAGAATGGATCAACGTTAATGTCCAACTCCATATTCACATCACTTGAGCCAGTTGTTGTTTTCTAGAAGACTGGAAGTATTTCATAATTTCTTCTTTCTTGTGTACACCTTTGCTAAAATGCTAAAGTCAAAGTAAAAATAACGAGAATATTTTTTTCTTACCTTCGCTATAGATGTGTATACAGTTTCACTTCTACTGTATTTTATAATAAATGCACCTTTATGTTATAATTTGTGACTGATGAGGCGACGTTGGAAAATACTTTTTAAATTTTATTTTCACGATATATGTAGTACATATTTACCAAAATTACATCTTTAAATTGTCGTAAAAATCAATCAGGCAAATATGGAGGAAGATGCTAAACGGTCTCATGCATTGCTTTGTGTTTATTTAATATTTAAAAGAGAAAATACAATTCTATTTTATCTCAAGGTCTTATTTTATTCGTAATATTATGTGTCCTGTTACTAATAATTTTTAATTTTTGATCAAACTCAATAATACTAGTTGCGAAAAAAATATACAGTCGAGTATCCTTCCAAGTCATGAATATCAAAGAAAAAACAGAGGCGATGTGGTGGTGTAAAGAAATTGCGATTGGTTTCGCAAGAAACGTCGTGCATTCCAACACGAATAAAAGCAAGCAATAGGTATGCAATAAGATTTCATCGAAGACCAAAAAGTATAATAAGCTGGACTTAAAAATTAAGCATAATGCATCTAAATCGACATATTACTCGTACAATGTGTTTAAGTGTAGAACTGCGTTTATTGGAAAATTCATTGACATAATTTAATGTCGTGACTACATTCAATAAGTTTTCTTTTCAGAAACATCTGACGGAAACTAACTACCAGTCGAAAAATAAGGACTAATTGCGACTACATGGACAGCATCGAAGGACAGCGTATATCTTTAGCGAGCATCAAGATTACCAAGTGAAATTTTCAAAGCAACAAATAAGTACAACAACTTGAATAGTTATTTATTGTGTGAGTGTCTTATTTATTAGGCATTGCTCGGCCGTTTATTGTACATAAAGGATTCTCGATCAAATAAAACTGAAACAGAGAAACTGATTTAAGGACACAATGTTGAACAAGTCGAAATTCCTCATGCTGATGAAACTGCCCATGAAACTTCAATTCAAGAATGCCGATGTTTTGAACTTTTAACGTAAATATTAATGTAAATGTTAGAAAGCAAATCTTAATAATTCTAACTTATTATTTATATAAGACACGATACAAGACACTAGTGTTTTATCAATTATCAAGCCTATAAAACGTCTCAAAACGGTAATGTTATGGCCTCAAAATCTATCAGTTGTGGATAGATGCTTTTAAAAAGATATAAATTAAGAGAATATTTAGTTGTATAGGAGCATTTTTAAGCCCTAATTAAATGTTAAGATTTGTGTTAATTTATGTTATATTTATATATTTGTTTGTTCTTATAATTGTAATAAATAAATAATAATTTAGAAATTGATCAACAAATAGGTACTCATCACAATTCATGAAACAAGATAAATGGGAGAAGGATAAAAATATTGCGAAGCAGACGACGAATTAATAAAAGATACAAGATTAAAATTAAAAGTT